ATTGCGTTTGAATGGGATTCGACTACTTTACGCGAATTCCAGAAGAAATGGTTTCTAAATTAAACCATCAAAGGTCTTTTCAGTCCGCTGTACCGAAATTGTGGCACAATGAGCGGATAATTCGATTATAAAAACAACCGAACTAAATATTAAACTTTCTTGCTCTAGAGTTATATACACAGCGCACAGTGTATATATGCGGTATGCTCAGTTTATTGCTTACGTAGCAAAGTGTAATTACCAACGTAGACATACATGCTGTATATACTGTATATTTGTATAAATAAATATAAATAAATATATAATATATATATGTATATATATATATATATATTGTAAACAAGGATTTATTCTATTCCGCACGGATTTCGCACGCGCGGAATTAAGTACCATACGTGGTATATTAATTGCATCATTTTTCGTATCAGAAAAATTATATAAATTAGAGAATAATACCTTGGATATCACGCAAAGGTTTGGTCTTCATCTGGAAAAAAACACACAAGACTCTCCTAAAACATAAGTACAATATCAATTTAGTCGAAAAGAAAGAAAAGAAAAAAAAAAAAGGAGACTCCATAACATAAATTTTTCCTTCTCGCGATGGTTGTCACGGAGAGTATTCAAAGTTCGTCGCTGAACGATTTAACAGAATTGTTCTTGAGCTTGATAGATCGCGGCATGATATTTCCTCCGCACTACAACAGTCCCGAAGATTTAATCAATCCGTCAAAGGTCAAGACCTCAGGAATACCACGACCGCCGAATGGCTTTTTATTATGCCGAAAGAATGTACACAAGCAAGCGAAGCAACATGGAATACACAATATGAGAGTTATAAGTAAGGTTACCGGAATTCTTTGGCGGGGTGCTTCGCCAGATGAGAAAGAGCAATATGAGAAACTCGCAATGCAAGTTCAAAATTTACATTCCGAGAGGTATCCGGGATACAAATACAAACCAGCAGCTCGCGTGAAATCTTCAACCCACCGTCACAACCGAGGTCAGCAACATCAACAACCTTACCCGATGCCGCAGCAAACACTTGATATACCGACAGAAATTCAAACGC